GATAGTAGAAGTTGGCTTGAACTCTACTTCCTTATTCTTGATCCACAATTAGCCTAAAGAGTTGGGATTCCTTAGCATGCACAGCTGGAGTTATTATCATGTAATCTCAGTCCCAATAGGTCTCTATATCAGATTGCAGCTTAAAATCTCGTGCTCAGACCTCTGATCCCGAACTGTGTGTTGCAGCATCGTGCTGTATCATCGTCTGCGTCAACCTCAAAAACTGCAGCAGCTCTAGAAGTCTAAATAAAATAAACCTCTCCTAACAAATAGAGGTTTCTACCTAGTAAAACATCGATCAAATATGGGATTCTATTTTGCCAAAAGATTAGCCAACACTTTGGAACTAACAATACCAGCCCTGGCAATTTGTGTAGGTGTGTATAAGAAATCAAGGGTGTTCAGATTTTGAATTTATGAAATGAATTACTTTGATTTTCAGGTTTTTACTGTTTGAGGCATTGAAGAATTAAATGTAACTGGGCGTTGCGTTACGGAATTAACAACCGTTGAAGCAGCCATGGCGATTTGGTTTCTTTCATTGCCTAAAACGCCTAAATTTCGTGCTGGTGTGAGTAAATATTGTATGGCATATGATGATTTTGAAGTAATGAAAGATGTTTCTCTGATTTTCAGGATTTGTTCATTTCACGCAATTTAAGAAACCATTGTAATATGGCGCGTTGTTACGCAATTAAGCACCATTGTGGACTCCATTGCGATTTGGTTCTTAAATTGCCTGATATGTAGCCATTCACGTGGGTCTGTGTATGAGTTTATGGCTGTGATGATTTTGAAGAAACGAAATCTGTTTATGAGATCTTTAGTCTGTTTATGTTTGAGGCATCGTAGGAATGAACGTAACTTGGTGTGGCACTACGGAATTAAATGTTGTTGTAGCCATGGCGAATTCGTTTCAAATGACTCAAGCACAAAACCAATTTCAAATTTGTGCTACAACGGTGGTTAATTCGGTAACGCCACGCCATATTACGTCGGTTTCTTCAATGCCTCAAACGAACATAGCCTTAAATGTATCCATTTTACTCCGGTGTGAATGAGTTTATGGCTGTGATGATTTTGAAGAAACGAAATCCGTTTTTGAGATTTTTAGCCTTTGTTCATATAAGAGACAAACGTATCTTGGCGTGGCATTACGAATTTAACCACCGTTGCAGCCATGGGGAATTCGTTTCTGATACGACTCAAGCCCAACATTGGATTTTAAATCTGAGCTAAAACGGTTTTAGGCACTGATATTTAGCCTTCCCAATTCTCTGAATTTAAGGCTTTGTTCATTTCAGGCAATTTAAGAAACTGCCATGTTACGTTCAGTTTCTTCACTGCCTCAAACAAACAAAGCCTAAAAATCACTGTAATAGAATTGATTCATTAAAAAAAGGAGAAAATGCGGAGTACAACGGAATTGAAATAAAAAATGCAATTAAAGTAGGGAAAGGAGAGAGAGAAGAGTCTAGGCAGCGGCGTCCTCGTCCTCGGCGTCATCGTCTTCTTCGTCGTCCTCAACGTCCATGAGATCCCCGTCGACCGCGTCCTCAAAGTCGGCCTCGTCGGGGGAGGAAGACGGAGCATATGAGTCATCCTCCTCGTCCTCGCCTTCATAGTTTTGACCGAGGAAGGTGCTGTCAAAGGGCGGCGGGACGTAGTTGATGCCGCGGAAGTACGCCCTCATGTCGTGGTGTTGGCGTTGCAGCGACCAGTCAATCCTCTCGATGGTTAGCCGATTCAGGGTATCGGCTATGGACTGTAAGGAGGCCTTGGCGGAAGCGGGGGCTGGAGCTCGACTTGGTCCTGCGCCGGTTTCGTCACCGGAGTTCTTCCGGAAGGTGCTGTCTTGGATGATCCAAATCTTCATCATCTTTGTGTCCGGGCCGGCGATATGGATGTCGGAGGCAACAATGAGGTCCATGACGAGGAAGGCGTATGGCAAGCTCCGCTCGGTGGTGATGGAGGCGCAATCCGCCATGTGAATCATGACGTATTTTGCCCAATTGATCGAGGCGCCATGGATGATAGCATGAACCGCCTTGAAATCCTCGTTGGAGAGACTGGTGTGGCTACTATCCCGGGGGCGAAGAATCCGAGTGAGGATGTATAGGAGAAGACGCCCTTCCGGCGGGGCTGAGTGGATGGTTGGTGCGCCGCTGTGACGGACGAGGTTGGTGATTCCAAGCTCTTGGATGACCACCGCCTCGTTGTTGAGAATCCAATCATCGCCACCATATGTCGCGATGTCGTCACCGCGAGTGGGCAAGCCTGCGACCCGAGCAAAGGTAGCCAAATCAAACTCTAGGTCGTAGAGATTGATGCTACTGCGAATAGTGTCCCCGTCCTGGCGGAGATTGGAGTAAAAGGCCCGGACATAGGCGAGATTGAAGGAGGTGTGGCTTTTGGAGACGAAGGGCCACAAACCCGACTCCTTGAGTTGATCGTCGAGGTCGTGGTATCCCTTCTGTTGAGGGAACAACTCGGGCAGCACCCTTGGCGGTGAGATGCGGCGTTTGGCGAAGTGAGTGATGAAACGAGAGAGTTCCTCTTCCGACCCAAACTCCAAGAAGGATCCGTCCAGGTACGGGAAGGGTTGAGGCGCAGAGCTCGAAGCTTCGGCGACGGTCTTCTTCTTGGAGGCCTTGCTCTTGGACTTTCCTCCGGCCATGATTGAGGCGTTTCTTACGAAAGATTGATGAAAAGAGTGTAATTGGCTAGAGGAATGAAAGAGTGGTGTTAATTGTATGTTAAGAATGTAAGGGATGATGTGAATATATAGGGAGAGGAAGATGAAACCGTGTGAATTCAAAAAATATGGCTGTTGGGCATTAAATTCGGTGCCCAACGGCCATAATTTTTGAATTTCAACTGCCGTCCCCGCGATGGTAAGAAACTTCCCATCGATGGGAGGGTCGCTACTGGAAAGCGAGAAGAAAACAAGGCTGCCTTCCCAGCGATGGTAAAAGTCACCCATCGATGGGAAGGTGGCTACTGGAAATCCGATAAAGCCTTTTAAAAAAATAGTGTCAAACACCCAGCGATGGGAGAAAGTTCCCATCGATGGGTAGGGAGGTTCTGGAAATTTTTTTTTTTTTACAAAAGTCCTTCACCCAGCGATGGGATGAAATACCAATCGATGGGTAAGGTGTTTTTGGAAAAAACGTTAAAAGATTTTTTAAAAAAGTCAATTACCCATCGATGGGAGAAGGTACCCATCAATGGGAAGAGGGGTTCTGGAAAAAGTGAAGACTTCCCTCCCAGCGATGGTATAACCCACCCATCGCTGGTTCCCCCTGATTTCCAGAATTCTGCACTTCGAACCGTCCCTGCAAAAAATAACACTTTGGTACCCAAAGTATGTCTATGGGTCCTTGAGGGTTAGTTAACCTTTATTGCCCATGCACACACCCAAAACTCGTTTCCTTACACACACACACACACGATTAGATGATCGTTTAGGAGTTACCTTGGCCAACCCATGATCTCGTGGTTGGCGGGTTCCAGTCTACCTGAACGGAGTGCCGATATCTCGGTGTGATTTGTGTTGGTTCCGGTAACGTAATGTGGACTTTCTTTGTTTCGTCAAAGTAGAAGAAATAATACGGTTTCTTTTGTGCATTATTCTATGGAGATTGTTTATGATACGAATATCCTTTTCTAAAGGATTTCTTTTCGTTAGCACCAAATATGTTGTGTGTTTCATTATAGGTGAGATGCCTATGTCTAGTAAAACACACGGGAGCTATATGTCCTACCCTATTGCAATAATGGCATACTACGTTTGGGTTGAACATATGCCTAGGTTGATAATAGCTAGGGGTCTAACCATATTCATCCTATTTTGAGAAAAGGATGGTTTATGCACGTTTTCAAAAGAATCATTTCTAGGTGTCCTCATGTTATTTCTCCTATTTTGAGAAAAATTATTATTATGCACAAAATTATTTTTCTTAGGTTGTCTACCATGAACATTTTCATTCCTAGGTTTTAGTCTAGGTTGTCTAGTGTCCTTAGGTTGAGTAGGTTTTCTATTATCCTGATTTTTAGGTTTCTTACGTTGAACCTTGGATGGTTGTCTAGGTGGTGGCTCAACGTTTTCTTTAACTTTAGCGTCATTTTTATTGAAACCTATTCCTTCCTTAGAAAAATGCATGGTGTCAAGGAGCAAATTTAAATCTTTGTGCGGAGTATAAAATTTCTTGACCATACCCTCAAGTTTTGTGACTTGTTCCTCTAAAGCTTTGCAAGATTCACATTCGTTTGAGGAACTTTCTGGCTTGTCGGCGCTTCTTTTGCCATAAAATTTATTCTCTTGTTTTAACTTCTCATTATCTTTTTCCAGATTTTCAAAATCATTTTCAAGAGTGGAGAGGCGTTTCTTTAATGATTTGTTGATTTTAGAAGCGCTAACAAATTCATCATAAAGTTCATGAAGTGCTTCTTGCATTTCTTCAAAGGTGTAAGAGTCAGAAGAAATGGTACATACCTCTTGTACATCGTCGGTTTGGTCTTCGTGTGCCATGAGATAGAGGTTGGCAGTTTCATCATCGTCTTGATCGGTTGACTCGTCGCCGGAGTCGCCACCCCAAGAGATATATGCCCTTTGCCTTTTGAAGTGCCGAGCATTCCTTCTTTTCGGGCATTTATTCTTGATGTGCCCGGCTTCACCACATCCATAGCACACAGGGCCATCCTCAACCTTTTCTTTCTTCCTTAGAAGTTTACAAAACTTCTTCATGACAAGCTTGACTTCATCATCGTCGCTTGAATCATCCATCGTTGATTCTTTGACGGCTTTTAATGCTATCCCTTTCCTTTGGTCATTCAAAGACGGGTTAAGAATAGTAGATTCATAGGTTTT